AGGCTCAATTCAATTTCATAATCTAAACTTGACCAAGTTGTGGGCACCTGGGTGGCTCAGTCAGTTAAGCCCCTGCCTTTGGCACAGGTCACAATCCTGGGGTCCTGGGATTGGGCTCCCTACTCAGCAGGGAGTATGTTTCTCCTTCTGCCCCCCACCCTGCTCATGTGTGCTTGCACACGCTCTATCTTTCTTAAATAAATAAAATCTTTAAAAAATAAAAAAATAAAAGTAAAATTGACTAAAAGAGACTTGGTAAAGACAGAACAGACCCAAGAGCCTCTCTCCCTCTGGCTGGTTCCAACTAAAACCTGTGGACAAAAGTACAAAAACCAACTTCCCAAAGTGTGTACACAGATGTTCACAGTGGCATTATTCATAATAGCCAAAAAGTGAAAATAATTCTAATGTCCATCAATTGATAGGACAAGGCCCTGGGCTGAAGGTGGCATTAAACCACCGAGCCACCCGGGCTGCCCAACTTTAATGCCTTTAATGTACTTATACCTAACAACAAATATTCAAAATACATGAAGCAAAAACCAAAAATACTAAAAAGAGAAAGACAAATAAACAATTATAATTGTAGAATTCAACAGCCTTGGGGCACCTGGGGTGGCTCAGTCAGGTTAAGTGTCTGCCTTCAGCTCAGGTCATGATCTCGGGGCCCCCAGATCAGGCCCTGCCTCCAGCTCCCTGCTCAGTGGGGGAGTCTGCTTCTCCCTCTCCTGCTGCCCTTGTCTTCCCCCCTCCCCAAATTGTGTTCTCTTTCTTTCTTGGTCACTCTCTCTCTCAAATGAATAAATAAAATCTTAAAAAAAAAAAAAGGAAGAAAAGGAATTCAACAGCCTTTTTTCAAAATAAAACAAACAGAAAATCAGAAGAAGATCTAAACAACCTTATTAACCAATATGACATAACTGACATTTATAGAACACTCTACCCCAAACCAGCAGAAAACACACATGCTTTACAAACATGCATGGAACATTTACATATACCAAGACAGACCATATCCTGAGCCATAAAATGATAAAAACCTGACAAGAACAACAGAAAAAAAGAAATAAAATCTGGTTTCTTTCTTAAAGAATAATGAAATTAATAAATCTCTAGCGAGACTGAAAAGATAACTGATGAAAAACACAAATCACCAATATCAGGAATGAAACAGAAGTGACACCATAGATTATACAGCCTTTCAAAGGACAGTGAGGGACTAGTACAAATAACTTAGCTCCCAATCAATTTGGCAAATCAGAAGAAATGGATAAAAAATTCCTCAAAAACTATCAACTACCCAAACTCAACCATGTAAAACAGATAATCTGCATAGTCCTATAGCCATTAAAGGAATCAAATTTTTATTTAAAAGCTCCTGAAAAAGAAACTTCTAAGTCCAACCTGTTTCGATTGAGAATTCCACCAAATAAAGAACACAAATTTCACACAATATCCTCCAGAAAAGAGAAGGTCTCGAGAACACTTCTCAAATACTTTTATGAGACCTATGTTACTTTTGAGACCCAAGCCAGACAGTAACTGTACAGAAGTCAGAAAACTGCAGACTAACATCTCTTGTGGACCCGAAAACAAAAATCTTCAATAATGTTAAAACAAACCAAATGCAGTAGTGTATAAAATACATTATATACACCACAACCAAGCAGGATTACAGGTGTGCAAAGATGGCTCAGTATTCAAAACTCAACCCCCATAATACCATATAAGCAGGCTAAGAAAAAACATAGGAGATTTTGAAAGACTATCAAGATTTTTTTCATAAAAAAGTGAAGATAAAAGATTGCTCTATGTCCTATGGTGAGAAATCTTAGATCCTGTACAGAGAACAGCAGTGTATCTATTTAGCTGGAGTGAAGATGGAAACAAATCATTGTGGGGGGCCATACAATGATCTCAGTTATTCTACTGAAAAACTACTGACAGCTGCTGTGCTAGTTATCAATTTATTGACTTTTAGCTCCAAATCCAACCTTCTTTGTCTTTCTCCTAGTGGAGCTGGACCCTATAAACACTCCTCCTTTGCCAGCTGGCTCGATGTTAAGTTTTGTCAGCAGAGAACTGGAGGAACACTGCAGAATGAAAGGGGACTTTCTTTCTGGTTTTACTGTGCCCTTGCCTGCCTGTTCTTATGGCAGGCAGCACCCAGCAACATGAGGAACACTTAGTGGCACCTAACCTTCAGCAAGGTTCAGCTGAATGACTGTGGGTGGCTTCCCAGAAAATTCTGCTGGTGCCTCAGCCGGCTCCCGAGTGACTGTGGGACAGATGCCCAACAGGAGGCTTTCCAGCAAGTTCTACTAATGCCCAGTAGGCAGATTCCTATTTGCCAGCCCAGGCTACAGCACCAGTGATCTTTGTCATCCACTGGACCAAACCCCACCTACTCCATTAAGATCTGAATCACAACCTAGGGACATAGAGGGAGATTCTTGAAAGTTACTCTTTCCTAGAGCATACTGCCCTCAGCCCTAAGTTACTAGTTGCTCTCTTTAAATAGTTTCTGGTTAACCAATTAACAACTTAACCAGTTAACTTAATAACTTCCCTGTTTAAATTACCATATAGCTTCCATCTGCTGACCAGATCCTGAGACTTATAAAACCGCAAAGGTCAAAGACTGCAAAAAACATCGCTAAAAAACTCTTTAAAAAAAAAAAAAAAGATTTATTTTTATTTATTTATGATAGAGAGAGAGAGAGAGAGAGAGAGAGAGAGAGAGAGAGAGAGAGAGAGAGAGAGAAGCAGGCTCTATGCCAGGAGCCCGACGCGGGACGTCGATCCCGGGACTCCAGGATCGCGCCCTGGGCCAAAGGCAGGCATGAAACCGCTGAGCCACCCAGGGATCCCCTAAAAAACTCTTTTAAGTTCTTAAAGGGACAAGTACAGCCAAAAGCCAATCACCTCATTTTTCATACTTTTTTTGTTCGTTAGTTGTGGCAAAATATACATAACATGCAAGTTACCATTTGAACCATTTATAAGTGTAGATTGCAGTGGCATTGAATACACTCACAATGCTGTGCAATCATTACTGTCCATTTCCAGAATTTCTTCATTATCCCAAAAACAAACTCTGTACTAATTTAAACAATAACTTTCTATTCTTCTCTATTCTTAGCCCCTAGTAAACTCTATTTTACTCTCTGTCTCTGTGAGTTTGCCTGTCCTAAGTAACTTACATAAAAGGAATCATACATTTGCCCTTTTTTTCCTGTTGCCACATCACTATTTGACCTTTGTGTCTATCTTATTTCACTTAGCACGTTTTTCAGGTTCATACACACAGAATTTCAATCCTTCATAAGGCTGAATAATATTCCACCATTTGATGGACATTTGGGCTATTTCCACTTTAATGTTATGCAATAGCAGGGCACCTGGGTGGCTCAGTCAGTTAAGCATCTGCCTTTGGCTCAGGTCATGATTTTGGGGTCCTGGGATCAGCCCCAAGACGGGCTGGGCTCCCTACTCAGCAGGGAGTCTGCTTCTCCCTCTCCCTCTGACCCTCACTCAGCTCATTCTTTCTCTCTCTCTCAAATAAATAAATTAAATTAAATGTTAAAAAAAATTAAGTGAGCCTCTTCAGAATGGGGAACACAGGGAAAACTACAAAGGGAAACGAGAAATGAAAGCCATGTACTGAGAACTGAAGAAGGAAAATAAACTGTAAGAAGTAGCGCATCTTCAATAATGATATTATCTATTTCAGGGCACCTGGGTGGCTCAGTTGGTTAAGTGTCTGCCTTTGGCTTGGTTTGTGATCCCGGGGTCCTGGGATCGAGCCCCATATCGGGTTCCCAGCTCAACAGGGAGCCTGCTTCTCCCTCTGTCTCTACCCTTCCCCCCGCTTGTGTTCTATCAATCAAATAAATAAATAAAGTCTTCTAAAAAAGATATTATCTACTTCATTCTGTAACCTGTCTAAAAACTTTAATCATTTAATACATCATCACAGCAAGAGAGTGAGTTGTAACTGCATCTGAATGTGATCTTCCAACCACTGATACTTCATATATGCATTAATTAGAAGGCTTTCAGTGTCTGGTATATGCCAAGCATAAAAGAGAAAGGGGAAAAAATAACAAATATCACTGCCCTCATGGAGCTACCTTACTGTAAGCTATAAATAAGCTGTATGATTTTTTTAAGATCACAAAAATATGTAATTCCAAGCCTTTAGGTGGTATGCAGAAATAAACAGAACACTATAATAAACTAAAAAATGAAATTTGGGGATCCCTGGGTGGCGCAGCGGCTTAGCGCCTGCCTTTGGCCCAGGGCGCGATCCTGGAGACCCGGGATCGAATCCCATGTCGGGCTCCCGGTGCATGGAGCCTGCTTCTCCCTCTGCCTGTGTCTCTGCCTCTCTCTATCTCTTTCTGTGACTATCATAAATAAATAAAAAAAATTTTTAAAAAAAAAAAATAAAAAAGGAAATTTGCTCTAGTTTGTAAAGTCAGCCAAAGTTCTCTTAAAAAGATGTACTCAAACTGACACCTAAAAAATAAGATGCAACTGAGACAAAAGCACATTCCCTGCTATGAAGGCAGCATATACAAAGACTGAGGCAAGAAACAGCTTCTCTGCATATTTGAGAATTGACAACATATAATATTTAAAGCTATGGGAATGGACAAAATTATACATAAGTTAGAAGGTAATAAGCAAAAAAACTGAGAAGGAAGAAGGAGGAATGTTTGTGGTCACTTCAGGTAACAAAACAGTTTCAAGAAGGAACCAGTATTTGGCTATGTTAAATAATTCTAAGAAATAAGAATCAGGAACTACAAGTCCCATGGAATTAACAAAATGGAAGTCACTGCTGACTTAGAAAGAACTGCTTTATGGTCACATAACTGCATCACAACAATGTAATTTAATCAAGAACAGCTACTTATAAATTGTTATCACTAAACAAAGCCAGAAGCTATTTTTGATGACTACCATCTTGCTTTTTCTAAAGTTCTTTTTTTCACCTTCTTTACTATTCTTTACTTATTTACTATTCTTGCCTGCTTCCAAGAAATGATAATGACAAGTATAAAGTCATAGACCCTTGGTACATTGGAGCTACACGACTCTCCAAATGGCATTTAGATCTAAGGGACTGATGGGAATCTGGTTTCTGTATACCAGACATCCTGATCTATTTCCCCAGTGTATCAAAAGTCTAATATTAAGGAAAAAATGAAATCTCTTACTCATCCTATTCAATAACCCAATAGCGTTATAAAAGAATAATAAAATACCTTAGTAGAACTTGTTCCTCAGGCCACAAAAATAACTATCTTTTCCCCTGTAGCTTTGTACAAATTGGTGTTATTAAATAGGCTTTATGTGGAGAGTGAGGGGCATCAGGGTAACTGGGTGATGGACATTAAAGAGGGGACATGATGTAATGAGCACTGGGTGTTAATATAAGACTAATGAATCACTGAACTCTACCTCTGAAACTAATAATACACTCTACATTAATTAATTGAATTTAAATTTTTAAAAAAGTAAAAAAAAAAAAAAAAAATACATAGGCTTGGGCAGCCCGGGTGGCTTGGCAGTTTAGCGCCGCCTTCCGGTCAGGGCATGATCCTGGAGACCCAGGATCAAGTCCCACATCGGGCTCCCTGCGTGGAGCCTGCTTCTCCCTCTACCTATGTCTCTGCCTCTCTCTCTCTCTATCTCTCAAGAATAAATAAATTAAATCTTAAAAAAAAAGGCTTTAATTTTATGCTTTAATTTTAATCTAATAAAGCTTATCTAATTCAAATAAAAATTTAGAATTGTGGGCAGCCCGGGTGGCTCCGTGCTTTAGCACCACCTTCAGCCACGGGCGTGATCCTGGAGACCTGGAATCGATTCCCACATCGGGCTCCCTGCATGGAGCCTGCTTCTCCCTCTGCCTGTGTCTCTGCCTCTCTCTCTCTGTCTCTCATGGGTAAATAAATAAAATCTTAAAAAAAAAAAATTAGAATTGTATCATTGATAAAATAAGTGATTAATCTTTTAATTTACAATGTTTAAAAGCTAATTCCTCAAATGCATTTCAATGTTTTTTTTTTTAATTTTTATTTATTTATGATAGTCACAGAGAGAGAAAGAGAGAGAGGCAGAGACATAGGCAGAGGGAGAAGCAGGCTCCATGCACCGGGAGCCCGATGTGGGATTCGATCCCGGGTCTCCAGGATCGCGCCCTGGGCCAAAGACAGGCGCCAAACCGCTGTGCCACCCAGGGATCCCGCATTTCAATGTTTTAATTTACAAATATCCAAACAATTTCTCAGAGACATGTTACATAAAGTGAAATAAAACTAATTTATACTTCATTGTTTCATAGTAATAAAACAAACCTAATTTATTCCCAGCCTACTAACATTTGGCCATAGGTCAAAACAAAATTTTTTAGCTATGTTAGCAAAGGGCCAAAAACTTAATTTTATATTAAAGAAAATAAGAATTAAAATCTAGACATGCGATTGCTTTGTATCAAAAAATACACTAGTGTCCATTTACAAATGTTTCAGCATAGCTCACTACTACTCTGGCAACTGAGCTGAACAATTCAGTGTGGAGGACTGTCCAACACAATGTGAGACATTTAGCATCCCTGTTTGCTGAGCATTAAATGCCACAGTGCTCCCTTCCTTTCTAGACACTTGGAAAACCAAAAATAACCCCCCTTCAAAAAAAAAAAAAACAAAACACCAAAAATAACCCCATAAATTCTAAACACTTTCCCTATGGGTGTTTACACAATACCACCCCTACTGAGAACAACTGGTAGCAGTTTTAAAGCACTGCAACCTTTTCCATTTTAATGAAAATATCTCTCATGTAGACTCCCAGATTTCTACTTTAAGAATACCAACTATATTGACTATTATTTTAACATTTCTTGATAGCAGGGGGAATTGATTATGAAGTGACTATTATACACTATTGTTAATATAAGGCTCTTAAAAAATTAGTGTGTTTTACCTTTGGTCCTGTATTAATTGACCCCAAGCTGTTTTACTTGTGCATAAGATTATTACATGAAATATACACTGCTTTATTAACATCTTTCCCAATTTATTCCTTTTGAACAAGGTACTTCTTCCTAGACTATCTACCTCTAGTCCTCTCTTTGTACTACAGAGTACTTTTTACCTGCTAATGACCAAGCTTATTTTATCAAAAGCCTGAACTCATAGATGAAGGCTTGAAGATGGCTCCATGCTTTCCTAAGAATTAAAGTGCATGGGTTGGACACAGCTAAGAATTTTCTTTTAAACTTACTTGTGGATTTTGTAACTGTGCTATTACTGAAAACTCAAAAGATCTGACAACTAAACAAATCAGAAATTAGCAAAGCAGTTATTACTAAATCATTAATCTTCAGAACTAAGGTACACTGCTATATACTATGAAACACTCTAATCAAGTATTATAATTATTACTAATAATATTTAAATAACTCACCTGATTTCTTTTAGTCCTTCTCTCTGGATAACTTGAAGAATTTCTTTATGACTCATGGGTGTATTGGGGTATTTTTCTAAGACCTGAGAAACAAGTATATAATAATAAATTATTTCTTCTTGTTTTAAGTTCTTATAATTATATATATATATTTCTTATTCTTATTAAAACTATGTATTAATTTCATCCAGCACATACATATCCAGAGATTTTCCATTCCTTATATTTTGGGACAATTAAAAAAAATTAATGGAATATAAACGGGTTTTTCTTTTAGCCACAAACAGTATATCAAGTCCTGAAGCAGAAATGGATCAAAAAGGGTCAGATTAATAACTAAGTTATTTATTACTAATGTGTAATATGAAATTGTTTACTTTCTGCCTCTACCTCCATATCACACGCCTAACTGTAGATCTACTATAGGTACTTAAAGATTAACCATTTTTATATTTCCAGCAAAGCCTCATATGGCATGAATTCTCAATAAATTCTTAGCCAGAAAAAAATGAGTAATATAATTGCAACAATATTAAAAAGGTATCTGTATTTTGGTTCTGGTAAAAAAAAAGGAGTAAGCATAGTTTATCCTTCTCTCAGGGTGAACACAACTAAAAACCTGGAGAGAATGCATGGAGCAGCGATCTAACAACTCTGAAAATGATAGCAATTGGCCTGAAGTAGGAAACCACAACTACAAGTTCTTCTACTAATCCCAAAGTGAGTTTCCTGGTTTTGTTTCCTCTGGGACCACTCAGCCGAGACTCAAAGGCAGTACAAAAGAACTGTTCACTAAATGTAGACAGAAATAGCTCTAAGAATTCTTCTCTTTTTTGGTCTGAAGATTAGTAATACGGCCCCCAGGGAGGCAAGGTTTTCTGGGTTTTTCCCCCTTTCTCTTGATCTGTGTTCCCAATCAAGCCAAAGGCAGCAGCCTTGGCAGTGATACTATCAGCAATGGCTGAACAGGGACCTAAAATTCCAACAAAGCAGAATCCTCCTGGTCCTTTAAGTGTGAATGGAATCCACATGGCTTATATTCTTTCTCTGCCATCCTGTTGTTTAACATCAAAGGTAGATGTGAAGTACAGAGCAAAACAGGAAAATAAAGCCCTACCTGTCTGTCAGGCCACGGGACAAAGAAGGGTCTCAAAATAAATAAATAAATGAATGAATGAATGAATGAATGAATGAATAAATAAATAAATAAAATAATAAAATAAATGAAATAAATAAAATAAAATAAAATAAAATAAAATAAAATAAAATAAAATAAAAAAGGGTCTCTAGGAGCAAGAAAGAATCAAGGAACTTGCAAAGCAAAAGGAGCTCAAGAAAGTGATACTATTAAGTTCTATAAACACTCCTGGGGTCAGTCCAGAGTTATGCATATGTGTATATCTGACCCTAATCATACCATGAGGTTCCCAAATTAGTCACCAGATGGTACACCTACAGATCAGAACAGCTCTGCAAAGGCTTTGAAAACTAGACACTGGAATTTTAGTGCAGAGAAGATGGGTTGGAAACTTGTGTTCTGAACCTAACAAAGTCAAATGAGTGCTTTAAAAATGTCTCGCTCCCCACAGCCCATGCCGCATCACTCTCCTCTTAAACTTGACTTCTTTAAGCATAGTTATAATAGTCGCTTTAAAGTCTTTGATAGGGGCACGTGGGTGGCTCAGTGGTTGAGTGTCTGCCTTCGGCTCAGGTTGTGATCTGAGCCTGCTTCTCCCTCTGCCTAAGTCTCTGCCTCTCTCTGTGTGTCTCTCACAAATATATAAATAAAAATCTTTTAAAAATAAGAAATAAAGTCTTTGATAGTTCCCAACATCTTGGTCATCTTGGGTTTATTGTATGTAGGTGTCTTTTCCCTTATGAGTTCTTAAGATTTTCCCAATTTTTCATTTGTCAAGTGATTTTGGATTGTATTAGACATTTTGATGTTATCTTACTGAATGTTTCTTTAAAACCAATGGAGAGGGACAGCCCTGGTGGCTCAACGGTTTAGCGCCGCCTTCAGCCCAGGGCCTGATTCTGGAGACCCGGGATGGAGTCCCACGTCCCACATCGGCGGGCTCCCTGCTTGGAGCCTGCTTCTCCCTCTGCCTGTGTCTCTGCTGCGCATGCTCTGTGTGTGTGTGTGTGTGTGTCATGAATAAATAAAATCTTTAAAAAAAATCCAATGGAGAATGATGGGGGGGGTGGTTTAAGGGAAATCCGCACTGTTTGTTTCTGTCTGACTTGTTTCACTTAGTATACAGCTTACAAGGTTCATTCCTATTGTCAAAGAGGGCAGACTGCATTCTTTTTCTATGACTGAATAATATTCCATTGTGTACATATAGTAATTTTCTTTATCTGATCATCTGTTGTTAGATACTAAAGTTGTTTCCATGTCTCAGCTATTGCGAATAATGCTGCAATGAATACAGGGGTGCAGATATCGCTCCAAGATAGTGATTTCATTTCCTTTGGATATATACCCAAAAGCGGGATTACCGATAGTTCTATTTTTAATTTTTTGAGAAACCTCCATACTGTTTTCCGTAATGGTTGTACCAACTTATGTAGCACAAAAAAGAGCTTTTACATTGAAATATACACACAAAAGATGGTCAGGTAAGGACACAAAAGACTGATATACCTACTAAAAAAATAAAACCTGAGCCGACAAAAAACATATCTTCCTATAAAAACTATTTTCCTATAGTGCAGCCCAGATAAAATATACAAAATTTTTGTATTTCTCCCTTAATTTGTACATACTTCTAACTGCCTTGTGGTTTATAAACATTGTATAGCCAGGCAGCCCCGGTGGCGCAGCGGTTTGGCGCCGCCTGCAGCCTGGGGTATGATCCTGGAGACCTGGGATCGAGTCCCACATCGGGCTCCCTGCATGGAGCCTGCTTCTCCCTCTCCCTCTGCCTCTGCTTGTGTCTCTGCCTCTCTCTCTGTGTGTCTATGAATAAATAAAATCTTAAAAAAAAATTGTATAGCCATTTCATTTGATCCTCACAACAATCCAAGAAAAGAGCAGCACAGGTTTAGGTATGTCTATTATTACCAGGAACAAAAGTAAGACTTAGAAAAGTTACCCAAAAGGGGGGCAGTGCCTGGGTGGCTCAGTAGTTGAACATCTGCCTTTGGTTCAGGTTGTGATCCCAGGATCCTGGGATCGAGTTCTGCATCAGGCTCCCCACAGAGAGCCTGCTTCTCCCTCTGCCTATGTCTCTGCCTCTGTCTCTCATGAATGAATGAATCAATGAATGAATAAATGAATAAATAAATAAAAAGTTACAAAGCATAGCCTGAACTTGAATGGCAAAACTCTTAATTTCCCAAGCTAAAAAGGATAATAACAATTAATACAAAGCAAATAGTTCAATGACCAAAAAAATCTATTTATTTTATTAACTAAAACATGTACTGGAATGATAAAAAACTGTGCCTCTACTGGACAGGTAGTTTTTACTTGCTGAGGCAAAAATAATAATAATAACAGGATTGCAGAAATGTCACTTACTGTTTTGATTAAGATAGGAATGGGTGGGACCTTCAACTATAATGATCAGATAGAGACCTTTTTCTCACAGGTCTATTTTGAAACATGTCAAGATTAGCTTAATGAAAATGTTAGCCTTCACATATGTCTACAAATTAAGTCGGTATTTTAAAAAGGTAGGTATCAAAAATAAATAAATAAAAATAAAGAGGTAGGTCTCTGGCTCTGTCTTTAGTAATAAGCAAGTAAATAAAAATGAAAAACAAGATCCTGGTGAGGCTTGGGAAGATTTGAGTATTTTGAGTGTGTTTCTCAAACTCTAATATTAATCAGACTTGAGATGCCTGGGTGGCTCAGTCGGTTAAGCATCCAACTCTGGTCATGATCTCAGGGTTGTGAGACAGAGCCCCATGTCAGGCTGGGCATGCAGCCTGCCTAAGATTCTTGCTCTCGGGACGCCTGGGTGGCTCAGCGGTTGAGCGTCTGCCTTTGGCTCATGATCCGGGGGTCCTAGGATCGAGTCCCACATCCGGCTCCCTGCAGTGAGCCTGCTTCTTCCGCTGCCTGTATCTGTCCCTCTCTCTCTGTCTCTCATGAAGAAACAAATAAAATCTTAAAAAAAATTTAAAAAAAAAAGATTCTTACTCTCCCTCTCCCTCACCACCCCCCTTAAAAAAAAAAGTCTAGACAAGGCTGTTTCACCAACTTCCAATGATATCTCATTATATTCTACAAAGGAAGAAATTAATTCCAGGTGCTGAGTTACTATGTACAGACATATACACCATATGTAAAGTAACAAGGGTTTCCCCAATGATAAAATATATTCATTCTAGAAAATTTAGAACATTTTTTTAGAACATATTTCAAAAAGTTTTGTTTACTAATATGTATAAAGGGATTCTGACATGAGAGAATAGGACTTAACATTCTGCCATATTCCCTTCCAGGAGTTTTTCAGTACACTGTACATAGTTGAGATTTTGTCTGCATATAGCAGTTAGTACTGTTTTAATATTATCACAGGCCCATTTTTGCAAATCTTGAGACATTTATTACTGATTTATTTCAAAGTAGCATAATACTCCACTAAATATGTATACACATAGAACACTAGATCACTTAACCCTCATTTCCTATTGTTGCTTATCAGAATAACTTAAGGAGGCATTATATCCTAAGACACTATACCACCACAGGCTTTGAGTAAGACAAATTCTAATTTTATTCCTAACTCTATCATTTAGAGCTCTGTGACTTTTGTAAAGTCAAACTCTGAGCCTCAATTTCATCAGTAAAATGAAAATAAGAACAGTATCTGTAACTCAGGGGTGCCTGGGTGCCTCAGCAAGTTGGGTGGCTTGGATCATGATCCCAGGATTCTGCAACTGAGCCCCTCGTCAAGCTCCCTGTTCAGTGGGCGCCTACTTCTCCCTCTTCCTCTGCCCCGGCTCATGCTTTCACTCTCAATTTCAAATAAATGAATAAAATCTAAGAAAAAAAAATCTTTAACTTATGGAACAGCCACGAGCATCAAAGATAATATTTTATTTTGAGCTGTTTTGCCTAGAACTGAGG